ATTTGGTTTCCTCTTGAAATTCAAGGAGAAAAATATAATGCTGCTCTTGAGAAAATATAACCGTAAATCAAAACTTATTTTTCAAGTAGCGATTTTCAGGGTTCTTTTCACTGGAAATCTTGGGTTTCTTAAGAAGCAATGCTTACACAAGCAATGACGTCTTAAACAAAGGCTTTTTAACAGTGCTGTATAAATTCTCCAACTATTATTCATCCTATTAAAATAATTTGGAATTTATAAGCCCTCCATCTCTCCTGGCTGGCACAGTTTCCTTATTACAAATTAATTCCCTGCCAAAAATGGTTTGTTTCTGTCTGATGATCTGAAGCAGTTCCTTGTAAAGCCAAAAGAATTTATTTATTTATTTATTAAGGTAACTCACAATTTGGAAGAGAAAAAAGAAGCAGGCAGCTGATTTCATGGGGGACTTCAAATATGAAGTACACTGTTTTAATAACCAGATACTTGGAGCTTGATCAAGTTGATATTATTTATACATTATGATCTGATTAAATCTTTTAAGTTTAGAGAAAGTCTAGTGGTTGATTTCCCATAAGCATGTGAAGCTCCTACAAACAAACCAGGTGGTGGGAGTCCTTCCAAGGCTTCCTCACAGCAATATCCTTTGGGGAATGCAAACCTACCTGTAGGTAAGGTAAATATTCACAGCTCAAGGTTACAGCCAGACTCCAGTAATATATAACCATAAATATGATATTTGATATAAGCTTGAAGGTGTGTGTTACCTCCCTGATTTTGTTTATTTATGTGTCTGGTTTTACATTTGCATACTGCCTAGTCAAGTTTGATAGTGATGCAGTGTCGACTCTCCAAAGTTTGAATACCTCCCAAACTGTAATGAAGTCTTCCACTTTCCAGCAGTCTGGTATCCCCCACAAAACTGTTATCAAATCTGACTTGCTTCTACTGTCATTCAGAATCACAACCTCAGCTTTTATGGAGATGGAGCCATCCTGCAGACAACACCGAGACTCAGAAAAAACTAAAAGTGGGCAACCAAGGTGAAGTGTAGAATTTAGTATTTCACATTACTGCCATCTCCTGCAACATAGGAATCAAAGACCAGAAACAAAATTCTGTGAGTGGACAGGTAATTCTAGACTACCAACAAGGTGCTGTGACCCAAACTAATCACCTGCACAGTGATTAATTAGTTAAATCAGAAATCGAAAATACACGGCATAACCAAACCAAAGCTTAGGTTCTATCTCTACAATGTTTTCCAGATTAAACTTTGCCTTCCTTTTTGCATGTTCTGTAATCTATTCTTATACTAATCCTGTTAATTATTTTTACATCTTGGGTATTTTCTCAATCTGCATAGAGAGACATAAACTAAGGGAACACCAAAAGAAATTTCGAAAGAGACTGCAGGATATTTATTTATCCTGGTAACACCCAAAAGGACCTTTAAGGTGCATGGGCTCATTACACTGGACTTTAAGCAAATAAAAATGAGACAAGTTATTTCCTTAAAGGTTTGCAGTCTCAGACATCTGAGGGTTGGAATGACCTGAGAAGCCAATTCCCATTTCTCTTCAGTCTTAAAACAATTTGGCAGCTGTCTACTTCTTGCTCTGTTTTCTAGAGATTTTAATCACAGAGAAACGCAGTGGATACTTCATTAAGGTATTTCCTTTTTTAGGCCATTTTCTGCTCCTAACCTCTTTCTACATCTGTCTTCACTGCATAATAATCCTCATTATCCTTTTGCCTATGTTTTCTCCTTTCTGGCACAAAAAGCCCACTTTTATCCAGGCTACATCTTGTGGTATCTTTCTAATTCTCTTCTTAGTACAGTTATGCTAATGAGAGTTTCACTGCGCTTCACAGAATGATCTGGTTCGTGAGCTGAGTCCTGTCTTCAGCTATAAATATTTTAATAGTGACCAGATAGTGCCCAGTACACAGAAGGTCCCACAACAGGGGTGACAGGTTTCTGCTGTCTGGGAAATACTTTGTCTTTGAAAATCCCTGAGTTACAGCAAAAATTGTCAGATCAGGTAAAATGAAATAGCTCCTATGATGATAAACCTAAGTTCTGTGCTTGATTGTCTTTTAAAACAAGGGTTGAGTCATTTAGTCCAGCCTCAAAAAATTTCCTGCAATACTGGACCACCACTGCTCTATGGAAAGTTTACAGAGTTGTTATTTTCTTTGTCTTGTTCTAAATACATTGCAAAACAAAAATACTCCCCACATCCCCCTCCTTCAGCCTGTTCTCCACAAAGCCAATTCACCTGAAGCATTTAAATTGCTATCAATAGGAAGCAACGATGATGTACTGCAAAATACTCAGGGACTATAACCAAGTAAGAGCGCTTTTTTTAGTGGGCACACACAACTGAGAAACTGTAGTAGCAGCCCGTAATAATTGTCACTTCTGATCACCATGGGAACCAAACAGAGGTCTACTTTGCAGAAAACAGATCAGCAGTGACTCACTGACTGCTTGGGACGCATGATTATTGAGAATTGCTAGACTTGTGTGGGTGACAGGGAATAGTGATGCTATTTCAACCATAGTCCCATACAGCAGAGTCTCCTCTGCCAGACATGCAGGATGAAAACAAGTAAATTAGTACTTTGTGTTCATTAGAGACAAATTTCACCTTTAGGATTTTCTGCAGCTTCAGCCTTGTGTGGACTCTTTGCTAGGAAAGGATTTAATTTCTGGTGAATGAAGTTCTAATTGAGATCCCATTGGCTTTTACCAGGTCTTCTGCAACCCTCTTAGTGGCAAGACTTAACCCTTGAGCAGCACAGAGGCTTAGAGTTGCCACATCATCTGAACTACACTAGGATGTGTACGACACATAAAAGTCAGGCAGTATTTCTGTCTGGACTACCCAGAAACTGAGAAGCTGGGCCCTTACAATAAAGCTCCTACATTAAGTAGAAAGCAAAATAAATGCACTGTCTCATTAGCATAATTCAAAAGAGAAGCTGTCTTTGAGGTAAAATAGTTTGTATGAGACCAAAATTTGCAATATAAGATATTTTTAGTGTTTTTCAGCTGGTCGCAAACTGTAGTTTCAGTCTTATGCTTTCCTACTCCAGAATTTTTCAACATTGACTAATTCAATCATAATATTTCTGGAATGTCAAAGAATTTCAGATCAGAGATTCTGAGATTATAAAGCCCATATCAACTCTTTGCTGGATTATTTCCACTGGCTCCTCACTCTGGCTGGAGAGTAACCACTGAAAGGAAAATGGTATTAGATCCCCAACATTTATATGTTCATTTTTCACAAATGGTAATTCAAGATGTTTTGACAAAACCAAAGTATATTCCTTAATAACTGTCATTCAATGCCTCCTTGTGTTCTGTTCTTTCTCCCCTTGAACCATCATTTGAGTGCCTAAATATTCTCCAAGGATGCCGTCATATGCACACCTGGCAGCTGGCATATAGGGGTTCTTTTCTGATCCTTCTCCTAACAGAAATATCCACAGATTGTAAGTTTTGAAAGAGCAGATACACTCTTTTCTCCATGAAATGACATGTGCTTTTATTAACAAAGGCTGCTCACCACAGAGGACTTTTCATGAGCAGAAAATCAACTCCCTAAGTGGGATTTGGCCAGGACAGAATACAGCATCCTGTCACACAGTTTCTAAATTCATGGACCTTTGGGAAAACAGAAGACAAGAATCTGCAAATTGAAGACAAGGACATGGCCCTAGCTCTTTAGTTTGATGGCACAGGCTTGCATAGCATAAATGAATATATGTCTATTGTAGAGGTTCCAGTCCGTGATGCTGCACATTTGTCAGTTGGTCAGTAAACTTTTGAGATTAAACGACGCAGAGGAACAAAAATACTAAGAAGCCACTGTACCTCCCACACAGTCAGAGGACGAAACATTAAAATACCAATTTTGCAAAGTGCTCCAAGCTTCTCTGTAGCTCTGCACAGGAAAGACAAGCAATGATGTGAACCAAGGAAAGTACCCTTTGCAACTGTCCCACCACCAGCTGCGAGGAGCTGTTCATCTGCAATCACCTCTTTCCTCCCTCTGCCCACACATCGGGCTTCAGACGTCAGTAATAGAAAAGGTGATGTTCTAGTTTAGCCCAGTCCACCTTTTTGATGATCCTTCCCAGCAAGTGAAGGATAGAAGTGGACAAACAAGGTTGATTACTGGCATCTTCTGCTGGCTTTTTGAGCACAAGCTGAACACTGATGTAGCCTAGGATGACTGGTGCTTTTTCTGCTTTGGGAAAAACAATCAGGATCAGGTCAGGCATGGGTGTGATTGCCCTGTACTAAATAAACTTGTGCTATGCAAACCATTTTGGCCGTTTGTTGAACATGCGAAGTGGAAACTACACCCTCGTGCTATAGTAAGCAGGTAGGAGAAAAGCCTGCATGTTTATCACTCAGGGCTACTTGAGTCCTCACCAGCCTGGCTTGTGAGAACAAGACTCTGCAGATATAATCTACAGACTTTCATTCATACTGAGAGATATTTTAACACCACATCTTAATCTTCAAGCTTATTTCATCTTGGTTTCAGGTCGACAGTCAAGAATGAGATGCATGTTTGTCTTCAGGAGCTTGAAGCCTGAAATAATTTAAAATCCAAGTAGCAGATTTCTAGAGAATAGCAATAAATAATGTCACAAATAATTAAAAGAAGACAAGCAAGTAATACTTTTAAATATCTCTTTTTACAAGCCTCACATCAAACTACCACTACATAAAAGTGAAAGCTGCAAGTTACTGGAAATCAGTCAATGGTAGTTCATTGGTGGTACTAGGTATCAGTGAAAAGGGCAGGAATTCACAGCAGCCTAATTCTTCAGGTCCAAATTTTCTGGTTTGCTGTTTTCTTTTAATTTTAAAAATGGTCATGAATGTACAGTAATATATTAACATTGTGCAGATTGGGGCTTTTTTTGTTTGTTTGTTTATTTGATTATTTAAGGTGTCTGGTGTATCAAGTCCCATTAAAAAGAGTTTGACTAAAGAATAATGCAAAAGGCTTTAATAGTTTAAATACTCATTCAACCATATGTAAATGTACAATCTGTTTTATGTTCTATGGGAAACTTACAATTGCTATTAATGAATTTTAAAACCTGAACAATTTGCTAAAGTAGTAATAACGCTCATTCTGTTTCAATTTGCCATACTGGAGATGCTTACAGATGAGACAGGAATACAAAACTCTAATAGTGATCAAAAATCCTCTACAGCTCAGGAGGATGCAGCACTGGAGTTTAGTCCCACTATCTCTGAAAATACTATCACTTCATCCTTATGCAAGGACATATTATTACATGGAATGGAACACATGATAGTTTATTTTGTTAGTATTTTTTTACATGTAATGCTTTATAAAAGAGCCATAGCTAAAGTAAAATATAAACAGATATGTAAATAATACAATGAATATATCATTCTTATTCAAATCAATTTCCTTGAGCAACATCTTTTTACAAGGTGAAAATTAAACACTAATATTTGTCTCATGGTATAAAAGGGACAGTAATAATTATAAAGAACCTTATGGTCTTAAGCTTGTTTCATCCTATTCTTAATATTTCACAGCAAAAATATTAAAATTTGCAATATTCCCAAAAAGATGCAAACTTGTCAAATATATTACTCTGAAGTAAAAGAACAATTAATTTACAGGAACCTACCATAGAAACTATTGAGTGGACAGTGGTGATGGTTTTCTATATAAAATCTATCAAACTCGTTGGAGGAAATATACGAAGCGTAGCTGATAGCTGATGGAATCTGCAATATGGCCACAGAGAAATAAGTTGCAGATCATCAAAGTTAGCTCTTGTGCAGAAACATCCACCATGAGTTCACTAATTTCATCTTTCACTGGAGAACAGCAGGAGGTTTCCATAATGCAACTATCATAGGAAACGGATTGAACACTCTACTTTAAGCTTTACCCGTAGTTGGAACTTGCAACAGTTTGGATTTTTTGGTGCTCTGATCTCTCTTGCGCTCCGGAAGGCTGTGTAAATATCAAAATCTTCAGCACAAAGACAGTTCCCTCCAAAGCACTGGCAACTGGTCTTAGTACACTGTTCAAAGGAAAAAAAGGAACAGATTTAGGTAGACTGGTAAAGCAATAGTAGAAAAGCAATACAGGAATGTTCCATACATAAACCAGAGAATTAGGTCATCACTAGAAGCTGAGAGATTTGTAGTCCATGAACTGCAGACACACACGCACATAAACTTGTGGAGCTCAGAGGACCCTTTGCAGATTTGAAGCTGCTCTTCTGTGTAAGACTTGAGTCAGCAGCTAAGCTCTGATCTTGCATGAATGAAGGCAAAGCACACTTTCAGCTATTTTTAATAGCAAAAAAAAAAAAAAAAAAAAAAAAAAAAGCCAAGTAATTGATTCTATCCAGCCTCAGGCACTCAGCTAAAGCACCTAGACAAGGACCTAAGTAACTCAGACTCTGTTCACAAACCACAGATGGAAAGCTGCAATCTCAAGATGGTGCTTGAGCCTTGGCCTGGTCAAGGGTGATGGTGTTTCCAGCTTAGACATCTCAGCCTGGTTACTGAAATTAGCTGTGAAGACCACTTGAAGTTCTCCCTGTTTAAGACTGCTCTTAGAAAAGTTCTGGGGCTTTAACCACTCATATAATAAACACAACACACCTATTATATGTGTTCTGCTCTACAAACCTGCATCCAGCACTGAGACCAGTCAAAACTGTTTCTGGCTCTTCACCCAAATTAGGAAAGGACTCTGCTTCTTATGGAAATTGTTGGCAGCTTAATAATTTTCAGTTCCCCACTGCCTAGACGTCAAAACAGTTCCCCATCAAAATTTGTCAATGCTTATTTAGTTCAAGTACTGAATGGAAACTTAGTTTGTTTTTATTTTTTCTGCAGGTATGAACTTACAAAGCATTTTTTTAATCTTAGTAAAAATTCTTCACTCAAGACTAGAGCCTATAAAGCTTCAGTGTCCTATTATAGCTGGTGGAAAATGAAGCCCCCACAGATCCTCCCATAGCAAGGGGAAAGCTCCAATACATCACTTAGTGGGTGACACACCATGGTCCTCAAGGTCCTTCCAAAAAAGAAGATGTTTTCTAACTGTAAAATCCTCATTCCTGGAAGAATCTTTGTCTCTGCAGATCCTGATCTAAGCACTGCTGATGTACCTCATCTCTCGTGGGAGGTCTGAGTACCACTAAGGACATTTGGTTGTTATTTGCTCCCAAATGAAATAATACAGAGTTTCTTTGCTTCTCAATTCTCACCAAGAAGATGACTTTATTACTATCTAATTTATATCTGCACCCACTGAGAACTGGTCCCTGGTCCAGCCTTTAGAAGTTATGATGCAGCTGGAGATGTAACTTGGTGGTTCCCAGACCAACTTAGAGCATCACACGAAGCATTGCTACCTTGTTCTGTTCAACAAATGCATGCCAAGCATATAATGTTAATCAAAACATACTGTACCTCGGGCTGTTTGCATCTTGATGTCTTTATTTCCTTCTAATCTTAATTAGAAAACAAAAGACAGAGATGGTTAAATAAAAAAAAAAACAAACCAAAAACATGCAACTAAGTTAGTACTGTTCCAAAACCAGTTATTTTTATTTTGGTTGAAAGTGTTACTGTTTCTCATTTTCTTGTTTTGCAGCAAATTTTGGAAGCACCAGTCAGTGACTAAATTCTGTGCTTGTACATATGTGACAGCAGCATTTTTTGGTGTTAAATCAAAAGAACATTACATTATTTTGTAATTACATGTTTATGACTTGTCAATTAAATAGCTATAAATCTAATGCTTTTCCCCACTGCTCAAAAATATAACATGGAAAAGAAACATTTTCTGCTGGGTTTCATTTAAGAACAGAAATAAACCTGAAAGCAAGCACTTACTGTTATTACTGGAATTCACCACAATGCAAGTAAATACCTTCAAAACTAAAAATAGCGCCAGGGCCCTGCAAGTGCATCTATCACAGCCTCTTAGTCTTAACAAGGTTTTGTTTTCTTTCAATTCACAGAGCACTCAGAGAGTGGAGAAGATGTTCAGAAGACCACGTACTTACACTGTCAGTATCTGCTCTAGGATCCTTCTGCAAAAGCGTGTTAAATTTTAAATAAATGGGAACAATCCCTTTGACAAGTGTAAATAACCCCACAGCCTTAAGAGGCTTCAAGGCTATCCAGTCTGTCTGAAATAATAATTGATTTTTAAAGGACGTACATCCTCCTAGATGAAATGATCCCCAGAAAGCAGGAGAAAATAAATCCACAACCTGCCAGTACCTTTGGGCGCAGCTTTCGTCTGACTGGGAGCCATGGCAGCCGCGTCCGACGGCAGCCCCACGTACACCCCGCCGTAGTTCCTGGTGGAGAAACAGTTACAGGCACATCAGAGCTCAGCTGGGACACTTCTCCTTGAAGGAGCTGGTTTTTTCACTCAAGTTCTTGATGTTTATCACGAGATCCCAGCTGTCTTGTGACAGTAATAAACCCCACCTGCCCAGCTTCTTCTGAGTACATCCAGCTTAGGACAGAGCTAATCTGACACTGATGTTTGACCAAAGCACCACACTTCAAACAATGCACACCAATTAAATAGACTTTGATCTCATTAATAAATGCAACCTGCCTGCCCCTGCTTAGGGTCACACTTGGAGAAAACTGATAGCAAAAAAGAGCACAAGTGCCTTAGGTACTTTCACAGCCCAACCCTCTCCCCTTCAGGGACTTGCAGAGGATACTTTCTGGCTCCAAAGAGCCTGTATGAAAAGGAGGGACAGATGAAGGGAGGTAAAAAACCGAGTCCTTAAGTCTCTACTGTGCCTGGAGATACCTGCAGAGACTCCCTTTACACTGCCCTGCCCTGTTAGGTGCTGAATTAATCATACCTTCTCCAGCTCCTGGAGTTCTGAGCCAATTTGTAATTTGCTTGATGACAGACTCATACTTCTTTCAGCCTCCAGCCCAGCAGAGATCCCCCACAAGTGCTAATGGCACCTCCTGTGGCAGTGCTGCTGTGAAGGCAGAGGCCACCAGCCCTTATCGAGCACACCACCTACAGCTGCGAGATAATGTGCTCTTTTTGCCACAAAGTTCCCACCTCCCCAGCTCAATAACAGCCTGGGTGGGCTCATCAATACCCGACTCTGTGTGAGATTTCCTCCTCTCTTTTCGTTTCTCCTCTGCTTTGCTGGTGTTGCTGGGAGTTAGGAGGAGGGAAGGAAGGATGCAGAACTGGTGGCAGACCTCACTGCAGCCCATTGCAAATAAAACTAACCCCGGTTGAGCAGAGCACCTACCTTCTTTTGTCATCATCTGATATGGATTCTTCTGCTCTGCAACATCAAAAGATACACAGTATGTTAGCAGATTGTTTCTTTCAGGTGCTCCATGACCATCTGGTAAATTCAGAAGCAAGGGAAGAACTATTACTGATCCCAGTTTAATTCAGGACATCCACCATTCAACAAAGTACTTACACAGGTATAAAAAAGGGACAAATTTCAATGTAAAGTACAGAAGAAATAAAGGATTGAGAAAAGATGCAGCTTACTTTTTATGACCCCCACCAGTGAGATCTGAAAGTAGATTTGGGAGCAGAAACACATGAATTAACACTATTTCTGAGTAAGTCCCCACACTACCCTCAAATAAAAGGAACATTAAGACTCTGCATGTCCACAAGCCTGCACTGCTCTTCCCCTAAAAGAGGAAAGAAAGGGACTGGGTGTCTGTGCTGGCATGTGAATGAGGATAAAGAGAGAGAAACTTTCACAGCAGCTATTACAGGAGCCAGAAGCTGTTACAGGGCCTCTCTATAAAATGAGGCGCTGCAATTCCTGAATTCAATTGTTTGCAAACCAAATGCTGTTATTAATCCCATCTAAATGGGCAATCACTTCTCTTTTAACTTTAGGGTAAAATCACAGGTCAGTCTGTAAATCAATAGAGTCACTGAGGTTAGATTCCTCCCAGTTATGTAGTGTTCTGGGTAGCTGAATGGGAGCACGGGTTAAAGTAACCAGCACAGATGGGAAGGGAAATGTAATACAAAACAATCAAAGAATTTATTCTTACTCCTTCAGTGTGCAGTGCCTGTGCTGCAGTCTCAGTCTGCATCCCAACATCAGTCATTACACAAATCACTTACCCACCTTTGATTAAATATTCGGATTCTGAGCTCTACTTCCATGACTGGGTATGGATGGGGCAGTAGCTGCACTTTAGCTGGGTCTGCAACCAATGTATTTATTCTAAAAGGTTGATGTGCCTGCTGTTTAATTGTTTGGGCTCTATGCCCTTACAGAGCCCTGAAGTCAATAGGATTTTGCCCTGAAGAGCAGAGGGATGATAGCAAGATGCAATCTCAAGTGCAAGAAAATGCCCTTAAACTTCCTGGGAGGGCAGCAAATGCCTTAAAAATACTGCTACAGCCTGGAAATTTTCTGACATCTACCTTCTTCCTAAGGGGCAGAACATATCAACTACCTTTCTGCAGCACCATGGAGTAAGGGTACGCAGATCCTTTTAATAGTTGAGGCTTGGAGTAAATCTTATTATTCTGCAATTTTGCTAAATTATATTTATGCAGGGCATAGCACTCCTTGTCTGCTGTCTTTGTCTACGTCTTACCACTCAAGAAAGACTGATCAATAAATAAAACTCTTTATTCCCTGTCCCTCCTGTCATTCCTTCCTGGAGGAATTAGAGACATTTCAGAAGGCATTTCCCACCTCCTGTGACCTCATGTAGTCACCTAAGTCATCTTACAGTCCTCACACACACAGCCAGAGAATGCAGAGACATTTTTTCTTGAGGACTGTGAAGCTGCTCTGTCCTAGTGTGGGCCAGTTTCTCCTGAAGAAACTGGAAAGCCTGTGTATATTAGTGAGTGGAAATGAGGATGAATTTTTAGGGAAAAAAATTAAATTCTACTTTAAGAAAGGGACTTAGGGTCCCAAAAGATCGCAAACAGTCATTTCTGTTGAACCAACCAAATGTGTCACAGGACTGATTTTCTCATACAATTGGGAACATTTTCTATAATCCAGATTAACCATTGTCCAGAGAAAAGTCCTTTAAAAGCACCAACAACTTCATGCACAGCTTGAAGCCTCTGAAATGGAGTTGTAAGAATAATAATCAATATTGTCCAACAGGAAATTAATGTCAAGGGGTTTTGTTATTTTTTTTTTAATATTCTGTTAGGAAACAGGGTCATTTTCTTCTGTTCCAGAAATGTTTTGTAATATGGCATCACAGACCATTACTGTAATTCTCTCACCAAGCAAATTATCCAGGTCTATGGTTAAGCAGACAAGAGGGTTTTTAAACATTTCACTTTCTTCCTTTCCTCTTATTAGCTATAAATCAAAGTAGTAATTTTGCAATACCTTTTTCTTCAAATAGATGATAGCAAAAATAATCTGGGATTGTACAGATGACAGCTCTTGGCTGGGCAATCGTTGGGGGCAAACTGTTGTACCCCTGCCAGAAAAGAGGGAGTGAGCAGAGACAGGAGTAACATGGAAGTGTGAAAAGGAAAAGAAAGAAAAATTTGGTGATGGCACTTAAGGAATAAGCCATTTTACACACCTTTCTGGGGGCTCAGGAAAGAATGCTGCCTCAGTTTATTTACTACACATATTCACACACCTCTTGCCTTCTCACATGATGGCTCAAGACCCCCTTTTGCAAGATGCCCACTAATTTTGCATGTTTAGTGTCTGCTGAGCCACTGAGGCAGGTGCTGCTTCTTTGCCCAGGCTGGGTGAACACGGGTGGCTCCAGGGAGCAAAGCCACAACAGCACCGCTCAACCACGTGGGAGTGAGCCTGGAGAGAAGCTCCTTTGGTTTTGGCAGTGCTCCCGTTGCCACATCTCCTGGGCTCACAGACACAGGAGTCCAGCAGTCCTCCAGGGACAGCAAGCTAGGATAAGCTTTTCTGCAGCAGGAACAGACAGCAAAAGGAACTTGACAGTCCAAAGAGCTCCGTGCTGACCGGCTGCTGTGTCCTGCCTCAGATGCTGTTGACATCCGCAGAGGAACCGAGAGCACGGTTTTCAGCAGGTAGCATGGGCAGAGTCCTGGAGCCAGTGGGCAGCTTTAACAGCAAATCCACAAAATGGCATTCTATTTACAGCTGAATAAATGTTTCTTTTGGTAAGGTTTTGTCCGTCCCAAGAGTCTTCCTGTCACCCAAAGTCTGAAAAACACACTTTGTTCATCTGTCAGCTTTTACATCCATCAGTCCTATGTCCATCTGATGGTAAAAGAAGCTGCCATTTCTCATATATTTTAAATGTCAAGATGACAGGCATTCACACTAATTCTTTCCATCCACATTTTTCTTATCTCAGCTTTTATGGCTCTGTTTGTGCCAAGCATTATATTTCTAGCTGTGCTCAGTAGTCCAGAAATGATTCATTGAACTTTGAACAAGTGACAGACAACTACTCCTCAGATTCTTGGTGTTTCCTGGGAACAAGGGCCTTTCATTTGTATTTCCTGCATATGCATTTCGTCTCAATATTCTGAAACAGGCTCAAACTGTTGTGTCCTTTCCTTCCTACTGTAACTAATCCTCCCCCAGACTTAGCCACACACTGAATACTGCAGGCATTGCATTACTTTCTAGCATATCCTTTACTTCTCCTACAGCTAGGTTTCCCAATTAGCAGTGATGAATGTTTATTAGCGGGGCAGGAGCATGGCTGCTGGCTGGCAGATTCTGGGCTGGAGCACAGAGGGCAGACACGTTCTCAGAGCATGTGTCCTTGTCACCACACAGTGCTCAGAGTGGAAAAGCCCTTTCAAAGGAAGATCATATCATCACCCCTATCTTATTGGTGGAGAAACTCCAGGCCCAGAGGGCAAAGCAGCTTCCCCACAATCACCCAGGAGGGCTCAGAGCAAGATCCAGCCCTTTCCCCTTCCATCTGGCTGCTGACTCCAGGAGACGTGGTACTTTGCAAAGAGTCACAGTAAAGAAATGAGAAACCACAAATTAGAATAATCAGATTTGGGATCAAAAATCACGTAAGGATGGACACACCTAAATGCTTTTCTGGATCAGAACTGATATGACTGAAATTTGATAGCAAAAGAAAAAAAAAGAGGGTAATTTAAAGAGAGGATTTACCTGATGAAAGTAAAAAGGTGTAAAAAGCTTTTGTGACTCTATAATATCATTTAATATGAATCTGCTTTGTTCATTTCTATAAACAATGAAAATAATTTTTCTGATAGCTTACTTCCTTCATAAAAATCTTCTGTTAAGCATCAGAATGCCTGATTAGGGCTTTTGGGGCATCACTGCCATTCCTCATTAATAGGTGTGTGTTTCTAACATCTGATGAGAAGGTTCAACCATGCTATTACTCACATGGGTGGTTTGGCTGGCTCCACTATCCTTAATCTGAATGAGTAACTCACACTGATAAGTCGGATGCTCCCATTTTAACTCCTGCAGCCAGGCTCTAAAAATGCTTACACACAGTTAAACACAATTCTATACATAGACACAGTTCTACACATCCCCATACCTTTAAGCACGGGAACATGCCTACCACATTCATAATTCAACAGTGCATGTGATTTTGAAATTTAAAATTACTGATGAGCAAAAAGAAAGATGCATTTCTAAGTCAGTCTTAAATCATCTAAACTGAACAATAAATAAGGCCCTGCTGTAAATTAAACCAGTGGGTTTGTAAATACAGAAGTACTGAGGGCAGTGATGCTGCAGGCTGCATCAAGAAGAGGTTCCTTATAAGATTGCCTTTTGTAATTTATTTATTGTCAGGCACTGCAAGACCAAAAAACAGAATACAGAGGTAACACAGATCTCAAGAGTATCTGTGGCAACAGTGTTGATCAGCCAAGTGACACCTGTTGTTAGTTCTCTTGTCCTAGCTCTGTAATAGCAAGGACAAGCCTGTTGTTAAGCTCTTCCCTCCACTTGTTTATCTGACTTGACTGCCCTCATTTCTACACCAGGATTCCTCCATCTAATTAGAGGAGTTATTCTAAGTGAAGTAAATAAAACTGAAGGATGTTCCTATTGTATAACATAAGAATCTTTCCCAGGTCCCTCAGTCACAAACTCTAGTGGCAAATACTAGTCACATGAAATAGGAGAAAGCAAGACCTTGTGAGGAGTTCTTTATGGTTTTCTTTGCTAGAAAAATACATTTATGGCTGAATAAAGCTGTTGCTGTGCATTCCTGTACCAGCAAGTAAGAATAGCCCTAAAAAAGACCTTGCACATTGCGAGAAAAACAGGATGGGTAGGGCTGCCCTCTGCTACCCTGTGTCAAACAAATAGATACTATCTTTAATGCAGAGAATACCTAGAGAAGGTGGGCACTTTGAAAAGGAAGCTGGACGGGTTAGTGGGTCTCATGCAAAGAGGGGGAATTTGTCTCAGTAGCTTTCTAAATCTCTCACTGGGCCTGGTGGAAATTTATGTGCTGGTTTCATACTATTATATGGCTTCTGGAAAAAGGTGCACGGGCACATGTTGGGGAAGAGCAGTCTGAAGTAACATAACCAGCTCTGCTAGACAACTGTCTCAACAGAAGCAGAGAAAAGAAATTTCTGTTAGAGAAACAACAAGCAAAGAAGTCTGTAGAAAAGTAAACAAGACAAGGAGTTGTTTTGTGGAGATGAAAGCTGTCACTAAAGGCAGTAAACATCTGATTGTGTTGATTATATGTTAGGAGCCAGATGAATCATGTATGACTAAATCTAGTATAAGGCTAGTATGACTGAAAATATGTCCAGGGTTATATATTTTAAGAAGAAGAGCAGAGTCAGTACTTACACATCTTTACTAGTCCCTGTAGCACCTAGGGGAAAAAAAAAAAAAACCAAAACATGTTTACCAGGTAATGACATAATCCTCCAAATCAACCAACAGTTCAGCAATTGTTTTTCTGTCTTTCTGTCCTAAACAGCATAGAAATAGCAACAAAAATTTGCTAGTGTAAGAGAACACATTTCTCATGATTGTTCAGTTTATCCTTAATGACTATCCACACAATCCCTTAAATCTATCACATCTGGGCCAGACTCTCAGTGTGTGAAAATTATGCTGCTGTGGACCAGTGCCCAGGTGCAGTCACTCAAGATGGGAGGAACATAAGAAAACAATAATCTTTCTGAATTTCATATTTCATTTGCTGAGAACTCTGGTGGTTTTGTCTGCCACAAAGCTGGCACAACTAACCAGAGGCAGTTACTCCCAAATGCCTGATTATTCTGCCATTTGATGCAGTTGTAGAGGTGGCACCACATGTGTAAAATGCTACGTCGTTCTTCCTGCCAGATAAACAAAGTTTTATAAAATGACTAGACAGAACTAATATAAACATTGGGACACAACCCATCCAAAACCCCACCTAAGGAGATCAACCACCCCTTAATTCATCTTGCTATTTAACAAAAAACCAAAGAGCCAAAAACTGCCACCTGGCTGCCTGGTATAAGGGGCTGACTTTTTTGTTTTGGTGACTCAGATATTTCTTGCTGGGAGACAAACATTTACCCAAGTACAAACTCTTTCTTGTTCCTCCCAAGTTACTAATGTTATGTTGCTCTTGCTAGTATACAATCCAGCTGAGTAACCAGTAAATTATCCCTTCTATTAACTACAGAAGTTAGGGCAGACATTAGAAAAACCTTTCCCTTCTCCTTTCCTCTTAGCATTTAGCTGGAAAGGGTGATCAGAGCTCACTCTGAAGAAACGGAAGTAGCCAATCCCAGAGATTTTTTGAGTTTGGAGATAGGTTGTGTTTTTTCTTCCATAGTACTTCATTTTTTGGAAAACTTTTATCTCTTCTGCTGCCAAAAAAATATATATAAATAGCAAATACCTTTCATCTCTCTTTGATATGTAAGAATATGCCTTTTGCCTTCTTATTTTAAACAAGAGGAAGAAATAGACATGCAAGGCTTTATAGCTCTGTCTACCTGAATCGATTGCTTGAATGGCAGAAAACATCACCTTTTACAGCTAATGCCTGAATATAATGTCATTCCCATTTCCTATAACTTGACTATCCCTCCTTTTCCCAGCAGCAACACAGACTAGACTCATATGAGATTGTACACATTTCTTCTGTTAGTCTTGCTTCCAGAGTCAGCAAAATCTCAGTATGGCTACATGTATCAGCAGAAAGCCTTAAATTGGAGGGAGTATCTCTGCTCACAATAAGCTCAGGCCCTTCCTTCAAAACCTTACTCCAGCAGGCAGCCCTCTGAGACTTTGAGGGCACATCTGTGAGGCACAACATGTGAACCCCTCAGATTAATAGTGTCCAGGTGGAAGGCTGGCATTGCTGTGCAAGCCCAATCTCTGATTGATGTAGGGAGACATTTTCTGCCACCAAGGCCAGTTCATCCAGTCAGCTCAGCAATGAGCCTTCAGGGCACCCCCTTGTACCCCCAGACAGAGCCCAGGCATCGGCAACACTTCAGAAAACACGTGTTATGAAAAGCCTAGCTGGAGCTAGCAGGATTTTTAATTTTTTTCCAGAAGAAACTATTCTTTTGCTGTGCCTGTTCTGCACGAGGGCCATGACTTTATTTTTTAGTCTAAACTCTCTGCAATCAAAATCAGTTTCTCTAAAAAAGTTCATGGCCCTTTTTGACGCCTTCGCCAAGACTCTTCTAAGAACCTTGGATGCCCTTCTGAAAAATGTGTCTTGCTTGCAGGAAGTACAGCAGAAGTACAGTGTTTAATACATAAACTGAAACCTCAAGCCGAGGGAGAAGAATTGTGTGCCTACAGCACTCTACACTCCCCAGAGGTGATAATCAAGTTCCTGTCAATCATTGGGTGCACTTCAGTACCATATCCATGTTCAGTGCCATGCCTGTCTTCAATGCATTATGATACATCCTCACTCTGGAGATGGGAGATGCCACTCAAACCCATCAGCCCCGGCTTTGTGTAGAGCTATAAAAACCCGTGTTTGGAAATATGCCATTAACATTCACACATGGCAGCATTTGTTTTCTTAGAATATTGGCAAGGGTACACTGCTGAAAAATCACTGCATTGTTTTGAAATGCGTTTCACACAAAAACTTTGGGAACTGAGTATGATAAAAACAAATTTTTTAAGAGATCAGTTTTACTCTTACAATAAATTTAAAAATAGATATAAAAATTACATATAAAAGTAAATACATTGTTTTCTACTTTTTTTATAAGCACAGCAAACCAGTTTATCCTCACTTTCATTGATGGGATTCCATTAATTTCAGTGGAGTTATTTCTCATTTTCACTAGCAAAAGTGAAACAAGTGTTTGGTTCAAATACACTCAAGTACCACTAAGGTACCTGACACTAGATCTGTGTTTCCAGTTAACAAAGGAATTTTTTTCCTTCAAGAAGAACTCTTCCTTCAAGAGTTCTGAGCTTGCAAATGAACATCATTTTTGCTAGCTGTACTATAAAAAAATCTCTGTGTAAAAACTTCAAAGTTTTTGTTCATTAGGGAGCCTGAACTTCCTTACCCTAGATATTATTTCCCAAGGAACCAAAAACATCTCAGTTCATACAGACATGTTTATTTGTAAAGTCCAATCCATTCACCCTCACCCTGTTACTTAACTGACATATTTGTCTAACTCTTGCAAGTTTAGTGAACAACACAATTTTATTGCTGCTCAAGCTCCTTCTGCCAGAAATTCAGCCAAAGAATATTGTTTACTACTGATCCACACTCTACAGCTCGCTCCATAGCAGCAAGACTTAGTGCTCTCACAGATATGATGGTTTCCACAAATGACTTGAGAAAAGGCTCGCATACATAAAGTTTGTCCATTTTTTCCACTGTAAGAGCTTGGCCTAAAAAAAGACAGCACTTGGCCCTACAAGCCTTGTCTTGATAGGCTCTTGTTTGCTTGGTTTTTCTAACCTAACCTCAGCAAGACATTAAAGAGTAACTATGAAGCCACATCCAGAAAAAATAGGCAATACTGAATTGTCCTGAATGACCTCTCTGCTCACACCATTTACACAGTAGGACCATGGGTGCATTTTGGCATTTTAGAGTTGCAGAAGGAGAAGAATGAGTACAGCCTGCAAATAAACATGTCCCATTCAGCCACACATTGCTCTGAGCCCCAGTGATTACAGACAAAAAACATTCTGTCTAGAGCAGTAGAGCTGTGATCCCTCAAAAACCCCCACAGCATTTTAACAGTGACAAGTCAAAAAGAAGAAGAATTTATCCCAAAGCATCATCCACTAGGTGAGATGGGGTTTTGTTCTTTCAGAACAACAGCAGCTTCTCTTGGCGACACTGCAGGATTTCAGTAAATGCAGGCCTAATGCAAAAGATGGTTGAGAGACATTGATAGCCACTGAGGATATTCCTCTGTGCTGAGAAATGCATCAGGAGTGAAGGTGAGAGGCAAAAGCTTCAGAAAAACATAAAAAGCATGTGAGGCTACCACTCACATGAACAAAATGGATACAAAAAATGCCAGGACTTGACTTTTGAGAAGATTATTAAACTTTTTCCTAATATTTTTTTTAATGAACAATGGCCTATGACATTTTCTTGCACATCAAATTGTTACAAAAAGCAAATAAAACCCCTCCAAATTAAACACACATTAATGCAATTGTTAAGAATGAGTTTTCTACTGCAGGCTCCTTTCTGATGTGCTCCAACAGTCAGCAGGAAGGGAACACGTTCTAACATCAATGAATTTATTCTATTTATACCTCCATTGTAACCGAGGATAGAATATCATCAATTTGTTTCATATTGATTATTTCTTCGGCTCATCGAGTGGGAGTTCCATACACAGATTAAACCCAATCAATAGAATGGCACAATGACTTCCTGGGCATTGCACCAAACCTGAAGTTAATAAATCTGTTAAAACTTGGTGTGAAAGTTCTCCTTCATCTTAACTTGACTGTACTTGAAGCTTTCCACAGCCTAACAGCTTCTCTATATATTTAAACTAAGGCTAGACTGACAGCCTCCAAAGAGTATCGTAATTTAAGGTGCTGTCATCGCTACAATAATAGATACAGAAAGGAGGAGGCAGTTAAAAATTTTTAATGAAGAACCATTAGAATGAAGGGAAATGCCTTGACTCAGGTAAAAAAAAAGCAAATTAATGTTTAAGAGCATACTTTTAAAAGACACCAAAAAAAAAAAAGAGAAGAGCTATTTTTGAGCTTCTAAAACTCTAGAAAATAACATGAAAGAAGGATATGTAAAATGAGACAACAAAATATAAGGAAAACAGAAGTTGAGAAAAACAAGTAACTATAGTTAATACATTAAATAGCTAGGTAATTTAAGAAGGATGCATACACATCAGTTTACTTGGGTAACTGAAGTTGCCATTTCTCAACTGGAGAGCTTTTTGCCACTGTCTGATACTCTGGAAAGAACATTTGAATGCTGTGAATTACATTGGTGTTCTGGAGTACTGCACCACAGACTGAAATGTTATTCTAGATCATGTCTATTAGTTTAGATCTCACAGACCATAGAGCTGAAAGCTCTGATGTCATTCCAGCCATGCAACAGAAGATAATATCATTAGCTGAACTATCACCATATATACATCTGCTTAGGAAAAATTAAATTAGGCTACAACAGGAATTATACCAGAGAAAGAAAATGGGGATTGGCATAACACATTTAATGTGTTCCGTGAAGTATGCTACAATATTATACTTAGTCATATGGTATGACAGAGAGTGTTACAGGTTAATTACATGTTATGCACCTCTAGCTTTGACATTACTGACTACAGAATAGTCATAACTTTAGCATTAAAAATGTAGTCATGCTGTGCATGCCACAAAATTTATTTGTATTTACATAGTCTTCACATATTTTGGTAAAATCGTGACTTGCATTTTCCTGAAAAGCTTGAGGATTTCAAATAAAAATGCTAAGTCTTTTCCTTACCCTTTATAAAATAATTTTATTTTTATTAGACCCACTTTGTAAGGAATGTTAAATGAAGTAAATAAATAATAGACATCTGACATCTTGCTTTTATTACCAGCTGTTTGTTATTTTAAGACCCTAGACTGCACAGAGTAATTCCTGACTGACAGTGGTGAAAGTGAGAAGTGAACTGGACCTTTCAGAGCTGCATTGGATTTGGAGAGGTCTGTCAGTGCAACAGTAATAATTCCATTATATTAATGATGGGTTTTACATGGCATTGTTGGGTTTTACCTGCACTAAACCCTTAGAGATCTGTGGAATATTTCTAAAAAGTATGCAAAAGTTTACTAGTTCAAATATTTTATGTATAACGTATAAGTAAGTTTAACTATCAAAGAAGTCAGACCATCAGTGAAAATACTTAAATGTATCTACAAGCCAAAATCTGTTCAAGACAACTACCTCTAATGCAAAGGGACACATTTAAACAAACTTTGAGTTCAAAATAATACTGCTGTCAGAGTTAGTCTTTTGACATTTACCCATTTGTACCCTGGTACAGGTTCCATAGGGCAGTAAAATCAACATTAACTTAGAAACTACCACAAATGGACCAATAACCGACTCAACATTCTCGTCTGAACCTCTCTGGTGTTTTTATCCAGCAAACAGAAACAAGACGTGAACCAGCATCACCTCAGTGGTATGAAGCTAGACTGGTCACATACAGAAGGAACTTTCAGTCACAGTAATGTGGGAAACAACTAAAGGGAGAGAATTCATCTGTGCAAACAGGACAGCTCTAATAAGAGCACTGAATGTTGAAGCAAATTCACTCAGAGCGTGTTCTTTATGGGTGACAGAGGCCTCTGATGGATAGACACAGTACCTAAATCCTAAGTTATCATCATTTAACAGAAACCAAGTAGGGAATTGCAGAATCACATTCTCCTCTGAGTGTGTAGAGCAGAGCTGAAGAGGTAAACCAGCACCACACCCCACAAGCACTCGCACATATGTACACCCTAGAGAAGGCAGCATCACACACTCACAGGCAGGACCAAGTCAGGATTAGCACCACCCACGGCACCACTGAAACTCTGGTTAAATCAAATCAAAACAGTAAGACATGGGGACCCAGTAATTCTAAGTTGTCCAACCATTATTTTGCATATTTTCAAGAGCTGAAAGCTCACAAGTGCATCTGAAACACTTGATAAAGGTACTGGAACAGGTGGCAATGTTTGCCAAGTGCAGCTAGGATGAAAAATGATTGAGAAATGCTCATATTGTAATTACAGGGTGAAGGTCCACTTATCAATTTCCATGTACTTTCCTATTCTGCGGGGGCAGGGGGGAGGAAGAGCACAACAGCACCATCTTCCCAGATCTTATCTCTTTTGAAAATAGCAATGAACAAATAAGGGAGCTAGCTGGACGCACCAGCCAGCGGTACACATTAACATGCATGAAACCTCAATCGTGGAATATCCTCCAACTTCTTCAACAAACAAAAGGCGAAGATGTGGCAGAAATTCATTTCAGAAGTGGCATTCGTGGCCTTATAGGGAAGCGAAGAGGATGGAGCTGACACCCCCGGCGGGATCCTTACGTCCAGCTCCCGGCCTGGGCTCGCCGTGCCCTGGGCAGCTCCCGTCGGAGGTGGCGATTCCAGCGACAAGCGGGCACCAGAAAGCCGCCGGTGCCCGCGGCAGGCCACATCACCCTCTCTCCCCTGAGCAAGCGGATCAGCCTCGGGAAAGGAAGATGCTCCTGCAAGAGGGCGGGCAGCGATTCCCGCGGCTCGTCCGGGCATCCCCCGAGCCGGGAGCTGTATCCCCGCCGGGCGCGGTGTGTGCCCGCCGCCGCCCCCGCAGTCCCGCAGGCTGCCCAGCACGGAGGGGATGCTCGCCCGCCGCTCGCCCAGCCCGGCCCGGCCCGGCCCGGCCCGGCCCGCCGCCCTACCTCGCCCGCCCGCGCCGCCGGCCGTGGAGTTGCCGCAGCCCATGGGCGCTGCCCGGGCCGGCGCCGCGCCCGCCGGTGCGCTGCGGTCACGGGAGACAGCCGGCGGCGGGCGGAGCCGGGTGGGAGATAAAGCCGCGGGGACCCCTCCTCCTCCTCTTCCTCCTCCTCCTCCTCTCCCCACCCATCGCCCGGGAAACCGCCGGCCCCGGGCGCCGCCGCCCGGCCCCGGCCCCGGCCCCGGCCCCGGCCCCGGCCCCGGCCCCTCACCGCACCCCCCGCTCGTCCCCGGGGAGCGCCGCACCCCGGGCTGCCCCTCGCCCGCACGGAGATATGGCTCAGCCCAGGCTCAGGCCAGCAGGACTCCGAACGACCCCCACCCGCAGGCAACGAGCACAGAGCCTCCCCGGCAGTGGAGATGCTCCTTGGCTCACGCGTTTCACGGGAGCTTTGGGACACCCGTCATTCGCCAAGGGGAACATCGGCCTAACCACAGGACCGGGCTGCAAACCCTATATCTGCTATCAATAACATCCTGTTCGCTATTTTAAGGAAATCATTATGATTGGTTTGGGTATTTCTCCACTTACAAGAAACATGATGGTGAAACTGGAGACCCATTGAGTTGAGAAGAGCTTCAAATTCACTTTCCCCAAGTGCAGCAGCACTGAGAAACATGAAAGATAAGTTAACAAATTCTTCAAGCAATCAATTTTCATTCAACATTTGTGCAATTTACCAAAAAGAATTTGGCTTTCTGTTAACCCAAACCTGTCTTCCACACAAAGGAGTAAAATACTTTAAAATCTTTATGGCTTGGTTACACCTCCATCCTCAAATGAGCAGGGAACACATTGCTGTGTGCTGAGAAGGAAGCTGAAATCCAATGGATACATCTAGATACAACTGCAAACACTCTAGATAGATAGATAGATACTACTGCTACAACAAATTTGTTTAAGGGCTCAGAAAGATCTTTAGGGGTGTCACACAAACACCAGTATGAGCATCACATATGCATGACTGATAATTGTCTTCTACAAAATGACCAGATATAAAGTGCTGCTGCCCGATCTTGCAGTGTGTTCAGTGAAATGGGGGGAAAAAAGACATGACAATTCTCTTACAGTTTTCCCAAGAAATACACATTAAAACTAAGTATCTCCATAAGCAGCAGAGACAATCACATCCAATCTCCTATGGCTTTTACCCTAGGGAGGAACACCTACATGGGCTCACTGATGTCCACCTCAGAACACTCCTCTGAGTGGTCACCTATTTTCATGTCAATTGCAGAAAGTCAGTAATTTCAGGCTCTTTGTCTATACCTTCCCAACAAATTGCCTGAACATGAACAATCAGCTCAAAGTTTAACAGGACACAGCTAATGGGCACATAGGTTTGGCCACACAATTCCTTCACCATCACTGGCCCTGCAGCAGACAGACAGCGCAAATGTGTGCATTTTTCTTCAGGAAAAAAAAAATCCCACAAAGGTTCAAAACCACCTCTTTTTCATGGCCAGTGTTCTGAAATTCACACATTGAAAAATGAACCCTCAGGCCAAACTTTCAGCACTAAGCATCAGCCCAATGCAAATTTTTAGTGGCAGAGTTAAGAAGGAAGAAAGTGTGCTCTGAAAGCAATGATGAAAGACATGCTCCTTAAGGCCCTGTGTGGTTTTCTAATGTAAAAACAAACAAACAAAAAAAAACCTCCCAGCAACCCACACTGACCAAAGGCTTAGCACATTTTGAAGTATCTATGAGCTGGTTTTAATATGCAGTTTACCTTGGAGGAAGCAGTTGTGAAAAAGAAACTGAGTCATGTCATCACATATTAGAAGAGGCAGCTGGGAGGCAAAATTCCTCTGGAGATGCCTTGACACCAAGCCATTGCCCTGGCCACAAGGAGAAGACATGAGGCTGGTTCAGAAACTTGCAGTGGTGTTAAGGATGAGAGAAAGGTAAATTTAACTTCTAAATGCTCTCACTCCTCCTACAAGTTCAGTGTATCACACACAAGCCAAGCTCCCTGTGTGCACAAACTAAGGGCTGCACTAAGATCAATAAGGCAAGAAACTTCCAGCACACCCATCCAAAGTTGGAATTAGTAGCACTTTCAGAGGACTTATGACAGAAAATGTGATGTATTCCTCTATACAGTGTCTGGGATTGTAATGAGTCAGCCCCTCTCTTAGCAGCTCTATTGTAGTTGCCTCCTACTACAAATGGGAAGACACACTTTAGCTTCAACTTTACTTGTGTTTTACACAAACAGAGCATTTCACTTTATTACTGGAAATAACTGGTATGAAAATACAGTCACCTAAGCAAGTTAATTAAATGAACACATGACATTAAGGGAAAGGAGCAATGTGTTCCCTGCATCTGCAAACTCTTGGTGTCTGCCATCACACACCTGTGTACATCATCTCCTCTGAGGAAGACTGGGAGATGTATGGATGGGAACTTCTGTAAGTATTTCAGAAGATGTAGTAAAAAAGGATTTTGTTATTCTTTCCCTAAATTAACAGAAAATTTACCCAGTTGAGAAAATAGGTTGATTGATGGGATTATCCAAATCTGAAATTCCAGTGATTTTCCCCTTTTGGACATTTCTGCTGGTCTGAGTGCTTAAAATCCAAACTATCTGTCTGTCAAGTTGGTATGCAAGACTGCGGAAAGGATCTATAAAACCCATTACTTCTGGGTCCTAGGGAGCAGCTCTTATTTGCACAATAATATATACTTTTTAAAATACTTTTTTTTTTTTTAATGTAAATATCCACACAGAAACATTATGCATCCATTATTTCTTTCTAACAAAACATTTGCTTACAAAGGGTTGGATCTCAGTTTATGCAAGTATAAGAGATAGACTTTGATGATGGGTCCCATCCAACTTAGGATATTCTAGGATATTCTAGGATAATTTATAGAAAAAAGATCTAGTGCTAATTAGTGCTAATTAATTTTCTGAGTATTTTTTTTAACAGTGTCTCTTAGACATGAATGTTCTCAAAACTGCAAATGTCCTGAAAAAATTGTCAGTTCTTCATCAGTAGTTACCACTGTGAGATAAATTTTTTCCTAATCAAATCTACAACAGGAATTCAATTTAGACTGAACTTGCCCTGTTTAAGAGGGGCAAGTTGTACTGCAAATATGTGGTCAGGGTTTGTCAATGCAACCACCTGGTTTGTGCTTGATTCTCAATTCTACTGTTTTCAAGTTCTACTTCCCACGTTTTCAGGCTACCTTGTATTATGTTTCTCCCTATCCAGCTTTAGTCTTGCTAGAGCACTGTTGTTTTATAGCTGGCAACATGGGCAACAGTATCTTTCACTGACTTTTTCAAATATTATGGTACAGCATAGATAGTGCTTGTGAACACTTAGCCAATAAAGGACAGAAAGTTACGACCCAATTTCCCAGGAAGCCTGCAAGAATGATTCTTCTTGAAAAATTCAGTAACCCAAGCCCAGTCTAACAAAACAAACAAAAGCAAAAGCAAAACAAAACAAAAACCCAAAAACAAACAAACAAAAACAAACAAAAAAGCACTCTTGTGTCTTGTGCCAGTTGTGGGGTTGTTTGTTTTACACATCATTAAAGAAAGATCAATACATCAAGATACTATCAATTTACATTAATAGAAAGAGGGGGGAAAATCAAGAACAACTTAGTAAAAGGTACTATGATTCTACAGCCCTTGAAGCTGCTTACTAAATGGCAAAGGGAGACATTGAGAAGATCTCTATATTTCTGGGAACATTTCACTCCTAACAAAAAAGGGTTAACTAATTTGATTTGGGTTACAGAAGCCAAATGACAGTCATAACAAAACCCAAAGAACAACAAAAAGGAAAACAAAAACAAAAACACAATCTCCCATTTTTCTATACTATTTCTTAATAATGGCTATATTGTGAAAGCACTTGGTCACACCAAGCGACCCCAACAGTGCAAGGTACTATCTGGACACATCAAGAATGTTCATCTTTGTTGGCAGTCAGAAATACAAGAAATAGCTGATGGATGAGAAAATAGAGAAGCCAAAGTAGGAAGCAGTGAGATAGCATTCCAATTTTAAAATGGATGTGCCTAACAAGAACCAAAAAAAAAAAAAAACAACTCTTTTGGTATGTGCCCCCGTGCCCCCTTAAAGTCTCCCACCACCATCCACCATTTGCAGGTCACAGGCAGATGTGGTTGCCATGTGTTTAGCAACCCTTAACACATTTCTCTTCTATGAACCTGTTCCACCAACCCTTGAACTCATGTGAGACCCTGGCACTCACAGCATCCTCTGTTCCACCTCCCAGCCACATGGAATTGAATTGAAGAACTACTTTTGTGTGTTTTGAGCCTGGTCCCTGCCCACTTCAGCTGTTGGTGGTTTGTTCCTTGTATCAAGGTAAGCACTGAAGAATCAATTCCCAGCCTCACACATTTCTGATTTTTTGTTCTTCATAGTAGAATGAACACTAAAGAATCAATATGCCATGTCCCCTACCCTCACCTTTAGTTAGCAGCAGTGATAGCAAACTGATATTTTCTGGCAGTGGATCAATAGGTAGTTAAAACACTTGGAAAGAGATTTTCTGAGAAAGGATTTAGAAACCCTTCTAGAGACAAGGTTCTGCTAGTAATGCCAAGTTTATATGAGAAGCAGTGCAGGGACCTGCATGGAGGGAGCAGCCAAACTTCTTTGCCCATCATAGACTTACTGTAATCCACGCAGTGTGTCCCCTCTTGCATTCCTTGTTAGCAATGAGAAAACATGGTAGAGAGCTTTCTACATGCCCCTCTGTCCCTTTTCTGGCTGCCTGGCAGCCCCACACTCACCATGGGAGCTTTTCAGCACCAGCCCTACACTCTGACTCCTTCTATAAAAAAAAAAAAAAAATCTATAAAATGGTAGAACATGTAGGTTTATAATGATCTGTGGAAGCCGAGTTTAAAAATGTGATTTAAATACCTCACTTTAAAACAAAAAAGAGCATTTGCCAAAACCAAGGGTTTTCTTTCATCTTAAGTCAATATTTTAATTTATCTATCTGTTCCTGCTCTCATGAAAGTCACTAATAAAATTCTTATTACTGGACCAAATCAGACATTAATTGAGACAAAATCAATGGTTTCTCCTTAAGCATCTAGTCAGCAATGAACAAGGAACCCAACCAGCCAGTCAGTAAGTGCCAAAGAAATGTGAAAATTCTGTTAGTGGATGTGCCAGCTTTACAGAAATTTCTGCAACCCCTCCTCCCTAGCCTCTGACAGAATAAATAGCAATTAATTTTGCAGTAATTCTTTCTGGATGTGATTATTGTCCATAGTCATGAAACCCCCCTTATTTTTAAAAGCTTATGAGGCATATGATCCTTAGCTGATTCACAATGTAGAAATGGAGTTCAAGACTAAAACTTTCAAAGGTAAGTTCATGGGGAAGAAATAAGTAATAATTCAATAGTATTCTGTTTACATCAGTGTTATATCTGTTCCTAAAAAGTCTGGATTTTAGCACACAGACTTGAAGATGTTGAGCTCAGCTATTACCTCTCCTTGCAAAGATTTCTCTTTCAGAGTTATTTTCAGATGCCCTTGAAAATAAAAAATGGCCAAATGCTTAAATTGGATACTAAGAAACACTTTGGAATCCTTTCTGTGCCCAAAAGGTTGAGATATATGATGTGTCAGATTCTTCTATTAGATTCTTCTATTTTCACAAAAATACAGGAGATAAGTAAGGGTGCTTCTTACATCTGAGATTCCTCAAGCTTCATTTTACTATCTCTACAAACAGCCTCCCAAAGCTATATTTCAGAATAGAGGAGAAAAAGCATCTTTCTCTCTTCCTTTAATATACTATGCAGACAGATTAATCTCTTTCCCTGTCTCTCACTCACTTCATAAATTAATTTGCAAGATGTAGCTAAATCAGCTTTTCCAATGACAGCATCACAAAATGAAAAGATGAAAAACTGGCAAAATGCTAAAGAAAGGACCTTTATACTTCACTGTCTTGAAGATGTCAGTGCAGCACTGCATCTTCTTGAAATAAAGTGCGTGCATCACTTCAGGCACACGTGTAGCTCAAACACTCTTGCTCCATTTGAAAAGTCTAAATTAGTTCTCAAGTAGTGTAAGACAACTGCATTTAGATCCATGAGAGGAAACTCTCTGCCTCAGAACTGTGTGTGAGAAAGGCATGTCTCTTGTTTGGAGTCTCATACTTCTATTTCAAGAGGCCCTTCTGCACACATAGCTCTTATTTGTGCAGTACTGTGGGAAGATTATACCCCTGTTTTATTATGTTTTATTTTTTGTACTTTTTCAGATGCCAATTCTTCCTCAGTTGTTGATACAAATTTCCATTACAGTTTTCCACACATAATAATTGTTTTTGCCCTATATTGGTTACGATGCCAACCAGCACAGTCGCTGCCTTGTTTTTGCATGCAGTGTGCCTGAAGACTACAGAAGCAGCAGAGACATCCTCACAATGAAAAATGTCTTCATCAAAGCTGTATATTTATCCACCTCTGCTTAATTAATACCTTAGCTTTTGAAAACCTAGGGAAGCTAGAATTTGCCAGTCTTTTTACAGTAGCTATATATAATTCACACAGACTGTGATTTTCATAACTTGCATGTGATATTTTATTGAAATGATAGAATTCTGCTTCAGCAAATAACAGCCAGACTAAGAAAAAATAAATGTACATCAAAACAGCATCTCTCTATATAAATATGGGTTTAATACAAGAGGATACTAACAATTTTGATTAATCAAAACTTCTGTCATACTAGGCATACAGTAATCAGACGTTCTTACCATTAGAAATATGGAAGCAGTGTGTGTTAGGTCATTAAAAAGAAAAAGGCACCCACAAATACCAACTATATATTGTGCTTTGGTGGCTTTTAACACACAGAATGTAGTTATTGACAGATAAGGTACTAGCAATTTCTAAGCATTCAAGGAAGGCTCTTGTATGCATAATTTCAAATATTTGTAAGAGCAGAATATTTGTACCCATGAAATAAAACCAACTGTAAGCAATCAATAGCAGTTATGTGATGTCCTCAGATGTTCTCATAGGAGAGATCCTTTTAGCACTTATATAAAGGTGACAAATGCCTCTCATTTATATTAATAAAAATTAAGTAATTCACCCTTGCTAAACACAGAATCAGCTTTTGGATCCACAAGTAGAGGCAAATGGTAGAGACAGACAAAGAAATGGACAGATTTGGAATTTCTGCATTAAATACTTTATCTAGTTTCATTTATTCCAGGTTTAACAGCAAAATGGATGCAGCACACCCAAACTATCTGTTCCTTAATATGTACCTGGAATTGCTACCAAAACACTGGTATTTTGTTTATTAGTATTTCCATTGCATTTCAAAATTCATGACTTGGGGCCCCTAAAATGCACAGAGTTGTGTGAAAATAATGAACATAGCTTAAAATAATTGCTGCGGAGATTTAAACCTTTGATTTCCAACAGTGAGCATTGAGAAGTCAAGGACTTGCTTTTCTCTTTCCTCCAGAATGAGAGGGGCCAGTCATTTTCCATGCAATCCCAAATCCCTCCCATTTCATAATAAGAAGCACATGTCACTTGGGGAAGGTCTGATGGGGAGCTGACAGCCTGGTAGCCCCTCACAGCAAACCTGCCCTACAAGGCTGAAACATGGTGAAACCACAGGTGCTGGCAGCACCAGTCCAGATGTGCAACAGCAAAAACAAGAAGAGATCTGGACTCAAATCTAACAATGACCAGAGCACTTTTCTGAAACAAAGCCACTCTTTTTTGATTTCGTTTTCAAAGCACTGAACATTGCTCCATTTGGCAATGCTACAACACAACGTAAATCAAATCTAAAAGAGCCTCTGAAATACTGCACAAGCTGTTCTGTTCAGGGGAGGGACGAAAAACTCTGGCAACTTCTCTTCTGTCACAGATTTCTTTCAAAGCTTTTAAGTTAGTTTAAACACTGATGAGAACATTTTCCATTGCATTATTATTTATGTTCTTACAGTAACAGATGTGATACTGCTCTTTTTGGGGGGGCTTTTTCCTTTTTGCTATTTCATAGAAGTGTAATTTGAGAGGGTGAAAAATAACTAATTAGAAACCACTGGTCCCTTATAAGAAAAAAAATATGCACATTAATAGGTGCTGTTGACTCTGACACCAGTACATGCTGTCTGCGTGCTTTATGCTTCAACTGAGAGATACTTACTGACCTAGGATCTTGTCAGGACTTATGTTTACAGAGTATTTAAAGATAATGACTGTATGTGACCCTTGAACTAAATGTTCTGGTTTTAAAATGTGAAAGAAAAACAAAGAAAAGCAATGTGTTACCATAAATGAATTTGAAAGAACTGGGAAACTATTTACTTATCCAGCCAACATTTATATGCCTGATTAATCTTCAGGAGTCTGACAGGCTAAACACAAGTTTCTAAGTTTGCAGGACGAGAGCTGGGCTGTCAAGTGCACAGGTAACATATGGCATTGCTGCAGGGTTACAAACCACCTGCCTGCATGGCAAATCACATGATGGAAAGGAAAAGGGTGGGGCAGCTTCTTGGCTGCAAGGCAAATTCTGCACAAGTTCAGGTGCTTGAGCAGTCACATATGGCGGGCAGTTTATAGCCCAAAAGCTACCCACAGCCTGGTGAGATAGTTCACCTTGCTTGTACCTTGCTCAAGTGACCTTTATCCTAGGAAAATACTGAGAGAGCTTTGCCAACTGGAAGAATTATCTTGCTCACAGCAGCAGTCAGACCCTGCTGTCAGCCTCCTAGGGGCTGTGCTCCCTCACCCATGCTGTAAGGGCAGCACACCTCTGAAAAGACACTCCCAGAGCTACAAAGCTACAAAAGGCAATAAGTGGCTTGCAATCTCTCCTATAATGATTCAGCTCTGCTTTCCTCACACTCCTCACTGCCCCCTACTAAAGCAAGTCACCAGCTCACCACAGCGACAACCCTGCCTCCAGCAGCAATGCTGCAGAATTCCAGCTTTCTGGCAAGCCTTTCATTTGCAGCAGTAGGTCCAGTCATATGACAGGAAAGGGTTCCCAGTATTTGGCTTTCTCCAGACAGCAGAAGAACTTCTAAGTAGCCGCCGCAGGAAGAAAAATTGGAAACATCTGATCTTGCGACACTGAAGCATCTGAGCAGTGTGGAGGAACACAGAGCTCCAGGGTGAGAGGATTCCTGCTGAGCTGGACTGGGGGTGCACAGACCTGCTGCCTGGGCAGCAATGCAGCACTGCATTTTCCTTGTATGACTGCATTTGTTCGTGTACTTGTGCTCCTGACATTGTCTAGGCAGCCTGCTGGGAGGAGTCACTGCCCAGCAGGAAACAAACAGATTGTGGTATCTGTGCCCATCTGGGTGCTGCCTAGAGCTTTCTGTATCATCCTCTGGGGTTTTTTGCTGTTTTTCTAAAAATACAAAATGACATCCTATTGCACCACCACATCCTGCTCTGCCTTTGCCCTGGGCAGCACTGACTCTGCTCAAGGGGGAAGCAGGCAGCAGAGCTGTTTGGGGTTTCTGTGGTCTGCAGCAGCCTCAGTTATGTACCCAGACCCCTCTGTGCTATGCTGTGCATGGAGAACAAAAAGAGTCCAAACAGAAAACAGCAAGACCAAAAAGGATATAATCATGCTGGCAAACTTTCATGGACTTCTAATAGGCCTTAAGGTATGTTCTGCTATATATAAATGTTAAGACATCATCATTCAGCTTTTTAGCCTAACCAGCCATAGAAAGATGAACAAAAGTGAATCAAAGGGAGTGACCAAAATTAAGACCACGCTAATTTTTCAGTTGTGTTGTTCAGAAAGAAACACAAAAGTGCAGGGCCTGATTGGTTCATGTGACCTCATGATAAAAAAATTAGACTAAGAGCTGGCTTTAGACACAGTGACATTAAATGCATTTGCTTGTAAGATTTTTATTGATGTTGCAAAGGCTAAAAGAGCAGGCTCCCTCTGACACTAAATTGACAGTCTTTTCTGTGGATCCAGCCTGCATTTGAATGTGATTTTCTGATTTTGGTAACCTTTATGCCTAACAGGTTATTTATTGGCACTTCATAATCCTATGTCAGGCATTAGAGGTCTCATGTTAATGTACAGAATCATACCAGATATGCATTTCTTTGATGAAGTACCTGTATTATTCTTTCTGTCACTTCTTGTATTTCATACAAAGATTTTTCACCATGCCTCAGACAGCCCTGAATTACATTGGACCACCACCTGGAGCAGGTTAGGGAACAACAAACATCACAAAAAAACACAGCAAGAAGGAGGAAAGAGCCTGTGTATTAACATTTGCACTGCAAAAATATAAAAATTTTAGCTTAAAATATTCCACTAATTCTCCAACTAACTACCCACTCTCTCATTGTTTCTGTTTCTTGCAAAGCAAATGCAAACTGTTAAATCAGATGCCTTCCATCAGATAGTCCCCCAAACAAAAAGCCATGGCCACACTAAACACTATCTGAGCCCACACAGCGCAGGGCAGAGGCGGGCGTGGAGGAAGTGCTGGTGCTTCCATCAGTGGCTCCAGCCTCTGAAACCATATTTTTATTCTGGATCTGGGTGGAGGCTGCTGCTGTGCTTATTTACAGGAGGGGACTTAATTGTCCTTAAATTACATGAAATTAAAGATGGCAGTTATACCCTTCACCTTCAATGAGGTTTTAATTAGATCCATCCCACCAGCCAGTCCATCTGTGCATATCCATTTTGGCATATTACTAATGTGTTTAATGGAAATAAACAAAGCCATGTGTTTTATGTTAAAACAAAGAACACGACATCTTGGTCACATAGCAATTAATAATTTCAGTGGAATTTTATTTCAGCCCAGTATTATGTTATGGGTCATACACAAAATCACAAGATACTCATTTCCTATGTGTCCAAGACATGTCCAGTACATGAGATGCCCTAGTATTAATTTAACCAGTCATTTATTCAGATATTATTAAAAAAAAAATTGGTTTGGGATGCTTCTGGTAGTAAAAGTACTAAGAGACTTTTTCACATCTTTCACTTGAATTCATTTGAAGCAATTTATTGCTACTATCATATAACATACCCCCTATATTTATATTTATATATATATATAAAGTTGCACAACTTATAGTAAATTATTACATGTCTAAAAGTAATCTGTATCTCAAAGATTTGTTACTGAGCACAAAAAAGAATATGAGACACTTTGTTAAAAGTCTAAATATACTCAGCTGACTTAGCAAACATGTGACTACCACACCACTGCCCAGAAATTTCTTGTAAAGTATAAGGTAGGAAGCCAAAAAGGAAGCATAATGCAATAAGTTCTTTAAAGTTATAATGGAACATATGAGAAAGAGAGCACAATGCAATATGACTTACTCTTTAACTAGTCTAACCAGAAAAAAATAATTACAGTCAGCTCTCCATTTATACTGAGTGGATTATCAAATTTGGAAATAAATTAGGCTAAGGATGCACAACAGCTGCCTTGTCTCCAAACAGGCCAATTTAAGCTGGCAGGGCTTATTAACTGAGGCACAGCACCATCCAGGCTTGTCACTGCTGCTTCCAGCCCTGAGCTGGTGCTGGGCAGTTCGGGGGAAAGCACTTGGGAAAAGCTGGGAGCCTGGCACTGACACCTTCAGTCCTGCAGAAGGCACAGTCCCAGTCACACCACGGTCCTTCCTGTCCTGTCACATGGCCAGACCTGACTGGCTGGTTACCAAGGGATGTTCCTGGCCATCCTCAAACAGGAACAAGACTGTCCTGTGTAAAATCCCAATTTCAGGTTTGAAGATGCACCAGTTTCTGTGGAACTACAGTAATAATGGAAGATTTTATATCATTTTGCCAAGAGATTTGTTTAAAAGACAAATCTTTAAATTCCAGTTGAATTCAAACTTTCTTATTTCTTTTAAAATGAATTATTCTCCCAATTATGAGATTTTTTGGCTACTGTCAGTCTTTTGCTGGAAGGAAGTATCATCTTTTCTTAGTAGCAGGACAATTAGTTTATGTAATAAATTACTTCATACTCAATGCTCAATTATTTATTGATTTTACTTGATACTATGATCTCTTGCTAGTTTTATAAGCAGTATGGATCAGTTTAATTGTAGCCATTCTGAGTTTTTTTCCCTAAAGTTTTCACACTCTAGGAGCTATTTTTCTTAACACAATCGAGTCATCTGTAGGTTTTGGAATACATACATACAAGTGAATTGAGCTGCTCCCTGGCAGTGATCTCCAGCTCAGTTCATACTTCCATGGCAGGTCTTCTGAGCAGTCAGGTGGCTGATTGTGAGTACTGTATCTACTATTTCCCTGTTCTCTTCCCAGATGTTCAGTGTTCCTAGAATGGCTGTAAGAGTGCTTTTCATTAGCATGGCTCTTTGTAGTAGGTGAGTATATTGCATTCAGTGCCTGGATATAGAACACGGAAACTCAGAAAACCCAGAAACTGTGTTTTCTTGGGTCAAAGAATGAGACACCTCTACCCAAAGGACTGCCCATGCACAAGGTATCTAACTTCTTTTTCTAATACTGCTAATGTTGTATAAATCAGCTGTTGAAATGTTTGGTAGTTTTACTGTGGGTTATTTTAATTGTTTTAGAAACATTATTTGGAGTTACCAAAACTGAAGAATAATTCTTGAGACCAAATAAAACCAAGTGATTGGGAAATTAATTTAAATTACTAATAGGCAAATTCAAAACCACCTGGACTGAATTGATAAAGCTCAATAAAAACATTTTGTTCACTATAAATAAGCAATCTGCCAAGTTTATAGCTGTGTAGGAAATGATGCAACAAAGAATGACAACTAGTAAAAAGCATCACCTTTCAGTAAGTTAATGAAGTGCTTTTTGTTTTATTTAAATAAAACTAGTAGAACCTGTTCTGGAAATAACTATCCTGAACTTTATAATGACAACAGGCTTCCACTCTTGAACCTCAGACTAAACAAAGACATCAAAAGGAAGAATACAAAACCTTCCAGGTTATTGCACTGATGTGAAATAAAACCACAAACCACCTTGATGCTTTCCTGGTGAAGGAAATACTTTAACTCAATGGGTAAGAGCTGTTGCTGAACTATTTCAAGACAAGAGGGGGAAAGCAAGAGGCAAGAGTTGTCACTAAAACTAAGTATTTGGTAAATACTAAAAAAATGCCCTGAAGCTACTTTAACAGATACAGAAAATCTGATGAAGCATGGTTTTCTTGTTCTCCATTAATTTCAATTAATGCTTTCAACGTCTCTGATGAAAGAAAAATAAGACTTAATACAGACTGACAAAATTGGCTCAGATGTGATCATGGATTCTTAAGCCTAATGCCTAACTGGTGCCCTATTTCATATTCCGTAGGAAAAAAAAATCTCTGACCTCTTTTCACCATTCTAAAATTCTCAGAAACATTATTATGATAAATCTGTATCTATTTTTATTTTCTCTTTATGTAAATACATACTGTCATCCATGGTATTTTTGGTATTAGCTAGAGATTTTTATTATGGTTCAGTGTCTTTCAGGCAGGAAAAGGAACTGAATGTGAGACCTCTGTTCTTACTCAAAGGCCTGGAACAGAGAGTCCAGCTTCAGGACTGGTGGGGCAGTCCCACTGTTATGGCTTGGCACATTGGGTTAAAGGTCCCATCACAAGCTTCAGAAGCAATACCAATCAATGTCAGACACACAGAAATACCTTAGCCAAAATTACAGGGTTCAGTGGTCTTTCTCATTCATAATTAAAGCAAACAATCATCCAGCCAATCTGCAAAAAGTCTTTTAATCAGAAAAAATAACCCTCAATCTTTATTAGCAATCACCTTGTCATATAAAATGTTTGCTATTGCTTAAGAATGCCAGAAGTGGAAAAATCCACTGGGACTTAGATGCAAGAAGCTGGCTGATATTAATGTTTGGAGCTCTTTTACAACACAAGCTGCATTTTTTAGAATTATTTTTCTTCTTTTAAAAGAAGGCAGCAATATGAGTTATCTGAAAATTGTGACATTTATTCAAAGATGGTAGCATCTTACAGCCAGTATGGTTGTTTGCATAATCTGTTTCATTGGCAGGATTCTTCCTAAAATCTTCAGAAGTAGGTTTTGGGGTTTGATGTTTTGTTTGGGTTATTTGTTTGGGGGTCTTTTTGTTGTTTTTTTTCCTGGATTGTTTGTTTGTTGTGTGTTTTTTGGTTTTGTGGTGTTTTTTTTTTTTTTCCTTAAATGAGATTCTCTATTTGAGTATCTCCATTTTATCTAAAGGCACACTGGAGCAACAAAAGCTACTGCTGACAAGAATGGAGCAACTTCCCTACAAGATCTATAACCAAGGACTTTTGGAGAAGCTAAGGCATCTAAAAGCAATGGACACGCTTCAAAAGCATGTACATAATCAAATACAGATCAAGCTGTGCTTACTTTGCCAGTAATAATTTTGTTCAACTAAGCATCCAAATTAATGTCCAAATGCTGGAGTTATCCAACACAATTAAGACAGCATCAAGACTTACAAAAATATAGCTTAGCACATCTTCATGTGACTAATAACTCAATATGCGTCCCTTATAACCCCCCAAGTGTTACGGGGTTATGGTGTTACGAGCCACGGCTGTGCGGGGATTTGCCTGTCTAGAGCACAAGGTCTCACAGTTTCACTTGCAGAGTTGTCCGTGAACAAGAACAAACGAGGGAATTGATAATCAAGCGGCTGTGCTGATGCCAGAATTGTCCCCGCCGCGCACCTGAGGAGAGGAGAGCACAGCAAAGGGCTCGCCTGCAGCTGGAGGTCCCCAAGCCCCAGGAGCTCAGGCTGGAGGGGCTGATCTTCCCCTGGTGTTCATCTAACCCTCGCAGCCTCTCCCGGCTGAGGGGGCATCCAGGGCGGCTGCTGCATCCCTCCTGCCGCCACCCTGGCCTGGGGGAGCGGAGCTGGGGAGGCAGGCACGGGAGACGGGCACGGGCCGTCCTCCATCGCGCCCACCGTCCCGCCGAGCTAATGGCGGCAGGAACCTCCCCCCCCCCCGCCCCGGCCCTCCCGTGACTCGCTTCCTCCGCCGGACGGGAACTGGGCGGAGTGAGCGGCCCCGGCCCCGCCAGCGGAGCCGTCCAGCCGTGCCCGGTGCCTGCAGAGCGCCGCGGCCGCCCCCGCGGGGACGGACGGACGGAGGGAGGGACGGACGGACGCTGCCGAGCCCCGCCGCCGGGGCGTGCCAGCGCCGCGCTCGCCGCTCCTGCCCGGACTCCGCCGCGCCGCAGCACCAACATGCCCGCCGTCGACAAGCTCCTCCTGGAGGAGGCTCTGCAGGACAGCCCGCAGGTAGCGGCCGCTGCCGGGACAGCCCGTCCGTCCGTCCGTCTGTCGGTCGGTGTGGCGCACCTGAGCGCTCGGTGCCGGCGGGCAGCCCGCGGGTCCGGCCGGGCCGGGGCGCGCTGACAGCGGCGGGGCCGGGGAGCAGCGTCCCGTGGCGGGGAGAGGGGTGCCGGGGCCGGGCGGGGACAGCGGGGCGGGCTCGGCTGTCGGAGCTGTCGGGGAGCGGGGTTGCGCTGGGCGGTCTGGTGTTCGTGGGGAACAGCAGGCAGAGTCTGCTCCTCTTTTCCCCGGGACGAGGGACTCCCCCAGCGCGGGCAGTGAAACTTCTGCGGCTGTTGGCTCGCACCGTCCCGTGTGGGTGGGAGCGCGCTCGGTGGCCGTGAGGGTTGCCCTGGACAGCTGAGGTGTGTCGGGGAAGGACAGGTGGGCAGGGCTCGGTGCGCTGGCTTCCCCCGGAGGGAAAGGGACACCTGTGAGTCACCTGGCCGCGGTGACAAAATGGGCTGGAGGAGTGTCACCGCCAGCGTGCCTGCTCCTCAAGGGCCGCAGTTCCCATGTAGGAGCTCCCATGAGGATAAGTGAGGCGGATCCCACCAAAGATGACCTTCTGAAGGGCTGTGAGAACGAGGAGAGGCGGTGGCTGCCCTTCCCTTCCCGAGTGCAGGCGGGGAGGATGTTCCTCCTTCGGCCCCGGCGCAGCGCCCCGTGCCCCGCCGCGGCTGCCCTGCGGACCCCGGCACTGGGGAAGGCCCACAGAGAAGAGCATGTCGTGTCTTGATGTGTTCAGGGGCTGGCTGAGTGGAAAAGAGAAGTTAGAGGAAGGGGAAATAATGGAAATTCCACTGAGGGATGCGGAAGGTGCGCTTGGGAACAAAGCGTGGTGTAGAGCGAGATACAAAAGTAGCTGGTGGACGGGGGAAAAGTAAACGAGGGCAGGGCGGATCAGTGTGCGTGCAGCTCCCAGGTAACCCTGTGTTGTAATCCCAACGCGTCTGCTGGTGGATCAGGAGCAGGAATGAATAGGTAAGCTGTAGGGCAGATTGCTGCAAGGTGTTACAGAGCCTGTCATGAGACATTTTGAAGGAAAGATTGGAAGTGCACCTGTCAGGACTTAATGAACCTTGGGTCTTATCTTAATTGCCTCATTTTATCCTGGTTTTTTGTAATTTCATGAAATCCCATTCTAGTAAGAAGGATTTCCATCATCTGTTTGATGTGGCGTATTTGTAATCATCCTTGGGAATTTTAAACAGAGGGCTGGAAGAAGTGTTGAGTAATGTGATGTTACACCAAAGTCAGCCCTGCTTGGAGCAGAGGGTTGGACTAGGTGACCTGCGGAGTTCCTTACCAGCCTGAGCTTTTCTGTGTTCCACAGTTTACCAGAATGTACCAGATTCGTTATGGGTAGTTAGCCACATTTTTATTGTTAACCTACCCACTGTGTCCTAAAGCTGAAGGAATTGACATGCAGGAGAAGTGAGCTAATTTACCTCTTCAATCAACACTTCCCTCAGTGATTAAAAATGTAACGCTGTCTGAAAGCATTTGAACAATGCACTGAACTGAATTTGGAGGTCATTATCTTTCCTGTGTCCTGAAATGAAGGCTGTCAATGTCTCCTTTGCCATCACTGGAATACCAGGCAATGCATAAACCTGTGTATTGGCAGGATGTTTTACCCTGATTTGGGCATTGCTTTTTCTTCAAGTTCTATGGCTTTCAGAGTGAGGGACATTGTTTAATTTTTATAATGGCCCAATGTTGCTAAAATATACTCTTTTTATGCAAGGAAGCAGGAGTGGGTTTTTCAGTCTTTTATATTTTTATTACTTTTTTCATTGGGGAGACCTTTAGATTCACAAAATCAAAGCAAAAAGTTAGTCTCTGTTCCACAGAAATAAGCAGTATAGCATCTTATAGGACCAGTTACTTCTGCAAGAAGGAACCCGATTCTCTCCTGCTCTGTGCAGTCGCAGAAGTGCAAAGGGATGGTGAAATGAGGATATAACCTCACTTTCTATAATCTGTGGGAAGTATGTGATTTACATGCAAGATTGAGGAGAATTAGGCCAAAGTTATTTCTTCATCAAGTTTCTGGAACTTCATTTATCTCTTCCCATCAGTACAGTACTTTTGTCTTGATTTGTCTCTAGATACTGGCTGAAGAGGCCATAATAAGTGTCTTAATTTTGATGTGTTTGGCTACAAAATAGAGAAAAATTTATGTCAGCAGTCATGCTAAAATCAAAGGAAGTACATGAAACTAGAAAATTTTTTCCTATCCTTTCAGAAGCTGAGATAATGTTGTGAATAATGGGGCCTCCTAAATGTTAGCTTAAAATTTGGATTACTGGTTTATTTCAACAGAATTAGCTGCTATTCCAAAATTTGTCAAAACAGCAACAAAGAAAATACATATAAGCTGGTATTTTGTTACAGTGATTTCATATTCTTAAATGTAAAAGTTTCCAACAATAACTTCCAAACTGTCTGAATAATTTGTTGTTTTTATTATTTTTGAACAATGTACTAATAACAGAGGCCAAAACTTTCAGAAGTTGGTTCCTGGAGCTGTTCTACCTCAAACCATATTTAGACAAACGAAAAATCTGAGTCTGCAAAAATTCACTAAAATTTATAAATGCAGTTGACATTCCTGTATTTGGGAACCTTTTCCAGCAGGCAGAAGTATGTGATTTGTAGCCTAATTTAAGCAATGTCTTTATAATCATTGAGTTTTGGCTTGACATTTGGCTTGATAAGCATTGTGTCAAGTTCTATAGTTTTTGCTTTCGCCAGATTTTTTTTTTTAACCATTTTTGTACCCTGTACTTTTCATGTGCCATTGTAGCACAAAACAGGTGCCATTGTAACACAAGTTGAGTACTGTATAGATATAAAATAGTTTGTTGGCATTATTTTGCTTTACATCATTGAAGATAAAACATTTGAAACCAGATATTTTTAAAAATCAATATGTTTGCAGTTACTGAAATAATATGTTAATGTGGAAAACTCCCTAAATCACTGTCCTTACAGGGAAGTTCTGTACAAAGGTGCTTTAAACATTTGGGCTCCTGGTATCGATTTCATTGACTTGGACTTCTCTCCAGTCTCTGGTTTTTATGCTCATTTTATTTGAAAGCAATAGTTTGTAATGCATACTCCTTTACATGCTAGGATCTCAAACTAGCTTCCCAAACTGCCAGCATCTCCCAGGTGGGAGGTGTTGTAGCAGCTCAGCACATCAGCCAAGTGAGCTGTTGAGAGCTTTTAAAGCTACTCAGAGGAGGAAGGTTCTGAAGAGACCCCAAAGACTGACTCCCAGGTCATGTATTTTAACCACTGAGCAGCACTAGTTTCTGGCTTGGATACTTCTCAGCAGAGGTGAAATGATAGTTCATCATAGGCTAGGATTCTTGAAGGATGCTGGTGTTGAGTTTTCCAGGACAAAAAAAGTCTGGGTGGAGAGTTTTTCAGAGAAGAAAAAATGCCTTGGAAAATGCATGTGCCTTCTCTTAAAATAGTGGAGTATCTTAAACCTTTGAAAATAAATTTCCCAAATTCGAACCTGGATACTTCAGGTACATTAGAGATTCCTGTAAGAGGGGGACTTAAAGGACTTGCTCTTTTACAGGACTGACATGTCTGTGAAAGTACTGGAGTTTATGTATTGCCCTCGTGTAAGCAGATGAAGCTCATTAATGTCATATAGGTTAGCTGTACAGATGGAGAGACATTTCCAGTTAGCCTCAAATAGATTGGATTTATCAAAGCTAAGACTAAGTATGGATCATGAGTTTGTTAAAGGGACAATCTTTCCTCTTTAATTATTGTAAAGATCTAGCAAATTCTGGAGCCCAGCATTATTCTGAAATATCTTTTCTTTCCCATCTTGGGAGCTGTGTCAGCAACATAATTCTTTATTCTTGATGGTTCCACCTGAACAAACCAAGGGAATTTGTGTCTTTAAGATAACACAAGTTCTTCCTTCCCCTTCCTGCTTGCTGCCAAAGATGAGTTAGCAGAGTGAAGAAAGTACAGGGTATCTCTGAGTGGGTGTATCCTTGTGTGCCTCTTGGAGATGAACTCTCCTTGTTTGGTCCA